TTGCAGTGAGATAATGAGTTTTATTACTAAACTTATTTTGTTTGAGTATTTTATGTTTTTTGTATGATTGGTTTATAGTTATGTGATTAAATTGATTATAGTAGATGCTAATTGTTTGATCATACTAACTTATTACTAGCCGAGTATTCAAATTTGTTTAATTACTTATTTAAACTTGCATGTGGTAGTAACTAGGGGTTGATTATTATTTTTCATGTTTTCGTTCAATCCTTTGAAAAACATAGAACTACGTTACATCTTTCTAGCGCTTAAGAGGTGGCTTAGTTTCACCTATCTTTCTCTAATTAATGTTGTTATTAGATTAAATCTATCTAGTGCTTTATAGGTTGTTCGAGTAGCTAGAAAATTAATCGGGTATCGTATATTCAATTAATGTCAAAGTAAGAAAAGGTTAGGGGACAACATACATATTGTTGTCTTATAGTGAATATTCATTGTAACACCCCTAACCTAGGACCTAATAGGTTGAGAATATTACCGTCGAAAACCCACATTCGAAGTGCAATAAGTGTAAGCTAACAAGGTACTATGATCTTTCTATAACTTATTTAGGTAAATTTACACTCGTGAAAGTCCTTTAATAATGATTAGGTCTTATACTTTAACTAAAAAGTTGTTATAAATTTTTTACGTCTAATTGATTTTATTCACATTCTTTAAACTACCTTTCCGGATTCGTGACTCTTTATTGATTTAATTCCTTTCTCAATTAACTATTACGATTGATTTATATATAATTTCTTTTTATTAATATTACTATATTGCTTACTTTCTTTTCTATTTATCACTCTTTTTTTTACTTAAAGAGTGCTTAGGAACTTAGCTAAATTGTCTAATGGTACTAGTATGTGGTGGATAATTTAAACTAACTATGCTACTACCATTACTCTATCATTTTACTATTAGTGGTTTGATTACATACATTCACTATTTACTTAATTACAATATCGATTTTATACCAACTACTACAAAATTGACTTATTTATTACCATGCCATGGCTTGCTCCTACTTTTTCAATTATCAGTTCATAACTCTAACTACTACATAAAAGAAAACAACCATTACTATAAAGTAAACTAAAATACCCAATATAACTAGAGCCATCGAGTGTATCAAATCCATGCGCCAATTACATCCCACATATACGAGATGGATTCCATCCTCGGTAGTCGACTCAAATGTCGTGAACACTATATTTACCTGGATTATCTATGTCACAAGTATATTAGTGAGCAATAACTTAGTAAGTTAACCAATGCATATAGTGTATGAATATGCACGTATAAAAGATGGGTATATGCATAATAAATTTCCTTTTTCCTTATGTTGTAAACATTTCATAAAACAATCTAAAATTCCTTTTTCCTATCTTTGGACATGTCCTATTTAGGCACTTCGAGATTTTCAAAATATATGTCTAGTGAACCGGATCCATTCACGGACGTGCCCTACCGAGCCTCTAAAAATACATGTCCGCACTTGCCTAGCCCCGAACCATTACTATTTCTATATGGAAAACCCATGAAGCCTTTTCCTTAAAGTCATGAAAAACCTTTTCTTTTAAAATAATTTCGATCGTTATCGAAAAATCATGACATGAAATACATTTTCATGACTTGAAACACCTATCATAACATTGGCATGCTTATGCATTTTAGATGAAAATGCATAACTAATATTGATTTATAAATACATGCCCTAAATATTCATGTAGTTATGTCATGAAAATATGCATCAAATTGGACAACATAATGGCATTAATAACATTACCTCGTATCAACCATCTCTACCATCATGTACCATACTATACCATTTAAGAACACAACTTCACAATCAAACACATTTCAACCATATGCCATATTCATAATTCAAAGATAATAGTTTGACATTCAAGAACACCATTAAACATGAAAATCAAGCAAAACCATTCAAAATTCTATTTTTCTTCTTTAAGGTCGAATGATGCCCTATTTCAAGCTATCTATTTTCTTCTCAATTTTTTTTATTTCCATTACGCCTTAAATTGCCTTAACTCTTAACCTAATATAATTATGTATGGTTTAATTGAATTATTAAGTGTTAATCTTAGTTTGGGGCTTAATGGGCCTAAGCATCAAGTTGACTAACATTAGTGAATTTTTAGGTTTAGTTGAAATTATTCACCTTAAGTCATTTAATTACATTGTTTTAAGCAAGAAGTACCTAATTTATCCCTTTAAAGCCAATTGAAATCTAAAACTATAAAGCTCCCCATTTAGGCCTAATGCCTTCCAAGCCTAAACCTTAATGTTTTCTTCTCATTTTCTTCTATAATTTTAATACTATGTAGCTCTGAATCCACATCAACCATATAGATCAATTTAATTGACATTTAGGGTACAAATTCCTACCCAAACCCGTATTGGGCCTTAATGGGCTAAAATTGAGCCCATGCCCATTTAATCAAATTTCTTCAATTTCTATCAAAATTTTCATTCCTACAGATCAAAATATGCTCATTCAAATGTAAATCAATCATCAAACCATAAATTAAATACATAAAACTCAAACCCTAAAAATTTATATTTAGGGTGAATATACCATTTCCATTTTCAAGAATTTATCTTCAATTAAAGTGTAATTTTTCATTTCTAAACACTAATTCAAACCTAATTAAATCATATTCAAGTGCTAGAATATCAATTACATGAAGGCAATAAAAAACCCCCAAATCATGGATTTGGGCCGAATAGTATACCTTAAATAACCCTAGGAACTTTTGAGTTTTAAACCTAAAGTTCAAGCCCAATCAACCTATTTCCATCTCAATTGCATGTATTACAAACTTATAATCATTTCCCCCAATTTGATTCATCAAGAACCCTAACCCTAATTTTTCTTTAATTAAGCAATTAACTCAAAATTAAGCAATTAAACATCAAATTGACATAAAATTAAAAATGCTTGTGATGTAGGTGAGATTAACTTATCTAATTGAGCTCTAATTGAATCTTTTTTTTTAATCTAAATGTAAGTATATAAATCAAAAGAAACAAAACCGAGAAACTAGCAAGAGTAGCATATATAAGATATACATGAATTTGGGAACGAGCTCCCAAGAAACCAAAACCAAAAGAAGCTAAATACAAAAAGTTGGTCAAGGAATCGGCGTTAAGGATTCCAAGAATAACCAATCGAAACAATTGTCCTAGCTAACCGAAACCATGTATAAGGGCTCTATAGCAAACAAAAATTAGCCGAAAAGAGACTATAAAGAATGATCCAACAACTACAAAGTAACTACCAGACCTAATCTAGGAAGAAACAATCGACAGGAACATCGGTAAGAGAAGCTACATAAAATTAAAAATTGGGAAGACAAGCCCAACATGGCAAATCCACCGCAACGAACCGGACCAAACACAACCCAAAACCCTAAGGAGGTTAGCTCCAAGTAAAGCTTCGAAGCCAAACTAATAAACCCAACACTAGCAGACCTCTAAATCCCCGAACAAAAGACCCCATTAGTTGAGCACGTTAGCCAACATTTAAAATGGTATGATCTTGCTCATGAAAGTGAAAGATCATGTAGAAGAGAACCCGAAACTTCCCGAATACATGGTCAATCGAAAGAGGGGTACCATAAAAAATTATCTTGTTCCTCGCCTCTCAAATAAGGTACACTCGTGATTTCTTAAGAGCTTTTAGTAAAACCATTGGCTAATTGCTTCGCTCTAATAACCATGTCCGCCACATCCACCCTAGCTTCACTTTTAGTACCAAGTGCATCATCTTCTTGTCTTATAAAACAAACATTCTTTCTAACACCGAGGCCGATGAGTCCCAAGACATAGATCGTCTAGCCTATCTTGGCCAACTAGATCCTCTCCAACCGGCCCCATAAGTAGGACCACGGTCGGGGTTAACCCCCATATTATCTTTAACGACTTCAATAACTTTACCATTCCTCGTCTAAGCCTCGCAGTCGATGCCAAGAATTACTTGATTTTCTTACCGAGTCCGAGCGTGTTTGGTCCGTCTAGGCCGAGCGGAGTATTCGTCGATGTTGAGCTTGGTAGTTCTGCTAGGACTTAGCTTTGGCTTTACCTTTGACTCGTCTCCCACGCACCGAAACGATAGTTGCCTCCGAACACATAGGGTTAGAAAGATTTTCCATCGGCAACACAATGGTGTTCGTAGCGAAGCGACGAGTTCCCGACCTATGAAATACACTCACTCGGACTCGATTTGTATGCTCTGTCTCATTTACGGCCCGTTCATTGGCTAGATTCACATTGGTCGGTCGCTTACCATAAGAAGTAGTAGAGTGCCTCAAAATACGACAAACCTTGCAATGATTAGGTAGAGTTTCGTAGACGACAGTCGAAGAAGAATAGAACCATTCGAGTAGCCCAATTTTTACCACTTCGGTAATTCCTCCATAATGTTTAGCTCAACCAAAACCCTTGCATAAGAAATCCGATCCACATAGGTAGTCAATCTATCATACCGAATTGATTTACCAAGCAAGCTAGTAATTTTTGAGAGACACAAAGTGGATCAACATTTAAGGAGAAGACTTGGAAACTTTATCCAAACCGGCACCATCGATATCCGCTCACTCAAAAAGTCAAAAAACTCCAACATAGGCCTTAAAAGCAAAGGCCAATCGAAGATCGGGTACGAACCTCCATTTAACACGGATAATTTATCCTTGAGGAAAACTTATAAACTAACCAACTCGAGTCATGAATAGATAATGAAGCCTCACATTTCCACGTGTTAGTAATAATCCCATTTAGGGCGCTACAATCGAGGCATTTTTCGACAACATACTCAACCAAACACTACTTCCATACTTCACATCTCGGGTCATCATAAAGCAATATGCAAGTTTTAGTATCAATAATGGTAGAAAAATGAGTAAGCGTTAGACATGATTCAAGCAAAACGATTATTAGCAAATAAATCTCTCTATTTTCCGGAATGGGGCTTAGAATTACTCGGATTGGCGGTAGAGTCGAAAGCTAGGTTTATCTCTTAGTGTAAGGCAAATCCTTCTAGTAGGAGGAGAGGCAACATCTCTTGATTCATTTTTAGTCACCACATCGGAAAAATACCCATTATTCAACTAAGGAAAAAGCCGAGTTTAAGTAGTATCCATAACTAGAACAACATTGTCTCTTAATAGTGGAGAAGAAGTGCCAACAATTACCAATTGTGAAAGTGGACTTTGTGGGAGCTTACCCAACCTAGAAATCATCTTCCCACTAACTTGTTCCTTAACACTTGGCTGATTCCTTGCCTCAACGACCTCAAGGGCAAGAGAATGAGCCTTGAAAAATTTAAAGTGTGAGTCATAGTTGTCATCCGGATCCGAGCCTTCCAAGCTAGCATCTTCAAAGGTTGAATCTTCATCACTTGAGTAATCTTTAACCTCTACAAGGTCAAGTAGAATAGGTTTAGCAAGGTGTTTAGATCCATCGGCCATAGTTTTGGCGGATCCGGATCCGGGAACGAGTAACCACGCCGGATGGGGAGAAGGAGGACTAAGTGGGGTAGCTAGGGCCTATATTGTATCATCTAAATCTCTCCTCAAATTTGTTTTTACATTTTTGGAACCAGATTTCTTCTTCCTCTTGGCCATGAAACAACCGAAAGAAAGGGTAGAGAAAAGAGGGAATCGAGTAGAGAGAGGAGAACGAGTGAACGATAATAGCAAGAAGCAAGGGAGAGGCACAAGAAGAGAGATCAATACGAGAGGAAAGAGTAGAAGAAGACACAACGAGTAACATCGACCGGACATGAGGGAAAGCTAGGTTGTTGCGACTCTCTCTACTTTCTACTTTCTCACTCTAGGTCGTTGCGACTACTACCGAGAGCTCTAATTCAATCTTGAAAAGCTAGGTTGTTTAAAATTTTCCCTTCTCCTTCTTTTGCTTCTAGACTTGAATTAATTTGTTAAAATTTCTCCTTTAAAATCTTTGGCCCCTAAGTTGAAATTGAAGTGGAATCCACTGATTTGGAGTGTTTAAAATTTATTGAAAGTGTTTTGGGTGAATTTTAGATAGAATTTTTCCAAGGGTCTCCCTTGTGTTTTCCTATTTTCTTAACATTTTTAATTTTTCCAGCAACACTATTTATAAGTCAATTTTGTAGACTTTTTGACTTGATCTCCACCTTAGGGTGAATCTCAACCCGTAATTTAATTTTTAATTATAAATTTTCATTTAGCCAAAATTTTGGCCATTTATCCCTCTTTTTATTTAATGTGTCCATCTTACTTGATTTTAGCCAAAACTTGTACTAAAATTTAGATCATTTATAGCACTAAGTCGGCAAATTTTGGTGGAAATATAAGTAATCTTTGTCCCTTAAATTGTTAAAAGCTTTCATGGCCTATTCTTTCCCAAACCCTTTTTTTTATTCAAATAATCACTTCTAATCCTCCCTTTTTAGTATCTAGGGCCAACTTTTGGCCCTTAAAATTTTTACATAATTTATTTTGAGAACTTAGACTTTTAATTTTGTGCAATTGAATCATTAATTTTATGCAATTTAGTCCCTAGAACCAAAATTACATCTTACTCCTTTTAAAATTCCAATTTCTTTCTAGAATAAATTCAAACACTTATTAATAGAATTTCATCTAAATTTTCATAATTTTTTAACTTTATTTAGGCCTCCAAATAAATTATTTAGTGTAAAAATTACACTATTTCCTATAAGAAATATTCCTTATATTTTGAAAAATTAATTAAAATTTATTTAATACTCCTACATACCCTGAGTGATTTTTCCATACCCATAAAAAAACTCCTCATCTCTTTAAAATGTCTAATTTAATTTTTCTATCTCTAAAACACTATTCTCATGCATAGAATTTCAAAGAAAATATTCACACCACATAGAAAAATTCACATAATCACATAAAATAATACTAAATCCCTCTAAACAATTATTCTAAGAAAAAAAATATTTTTCATGCATAGAAAATATGCTTTAATTAATTATTTCATGCAAAAACTATTATTCATACACCATAAAATCAATAAAATATTTCTTAAGTATGGAAAAACTATTTTAACTATTCTAAATATTCTTTTTAGTTCCTATAGATTATTTCTCACCCTAAAAATATGTTTCACATGTATTTAATATTAAATTTTTATTTAATTTAGTTTTAACAAGTACCGGTTATTACATTCATTGTTAGGATAAGTTAATTATTTAATCGATGATTAGAAACCAAACTAAAAGTGGTTACTAAAGTTCAACCACGGTTCCTTTATTATTGTTTTTTCAATTTACTTTAAATATTTTCAAACATTTCAAACACAAAACCTCTCATTTTTACTGCTTTTACATTACGAGAACAATCAATCGAAAGAAATTATTAATTAAGCCTCCTTCATATGGGTTCAACCCTTACGTGCCTTAACTACATCATTATGGTTAAAGTCTGTGTTAGACCATTATAGATATCTAATTTGTTAGTGGTACAATATGCCATCAAATTTTGACATCGTTTAGGAGGATTGCACTAAAATTAATTATCTTTGGTATTTTGAGTGTTCTTGTGTTTTCATTGTGGTTAGTATATGACCAAATTGCAATCGAGTGATCCGATTTTAAATCCCGAGCTAGAGAGAAAATTGAGCAAATTGAGAAGAGAAACTAGATTAGCGTCAATAGAAAAGATTGAGTCATCCGAGAGAGTGGTTTCATTGGACATAACTACTGTTCTTGATTTTTATCATCAAGTGATTCCGAAGGAGAAATCATTGCTACAAACAAGGCAAATAAGATACTAAAGGAGCCGATTGCTCTTGACCTCAATTAGTAACCCTTGTGTATCGCATTCTCTAATCTCGATGTTGTATTTGAACTTAAATCGGGACTGATACACTTGTTATCTAAATTTTGAGGCCTTGCTGAGAAGACCTCCATAAATATCTTACGGAGTTCCATATGGTCCGTTCAACTATGATACCACAAAGACTATCGAAAGAGCAAATTAAACTACGAGCATTCCCTTTTTCATTATATGGGGATGCTAAGGATTGACAATATGATCTTTCTACGAGGTCAATTGATTCATGAAATAGAATGAAGTAGGCATTCTTACTTAAATATTTTCCTACTTTAAGAGTTACGAGTATATGGAAGAAATCTATCATATTAGGCGGTTCAATAAGGAGATACTATATGAGTGTTGGGAGTAGTTCAAGAAGTTGTGTTTCAGTTGCCCACATCACTAAATTCCAAACTAATTGCTAATTGTATACTTCTTCGAGGGATTGCTCCATATGGAGAGGAGCACGATAAATATTGTTAGTGGAGGAGCACTAGTAGATAAGACGATTAATGCTGCGAGAGCTTTAATATCCAAATGGATGTAAATTCATAGTAGTTTGGTGTAAGGGTTGATCACATATCGGAAAAGGTAAATGTAGTCAACATCTCTAGTTTGGAGCGACAAATGTTTGACTTGATTTCACTAGTAAGACAAATGGTTATTAGAAATCTACAAACTTTTAAGATTTTCGGGATTTGTTCGATTATAGGACATACTACTAATGCATACCTAACATTACAAGAGGAGCGCTCCGAACATGTTAATTCTGCTGGTAACTTTGAGGGTGGTCAATCACGATCCTTTGACCTTTTCTCCAACACCTATAATCCTAGTTGGAGAAACCACCCCAATTTGATATATGGAGACAATCGACAAGTTGGGTAAAATTTCTACTAACAAGGGCAATAAAGGTATCAACCTCGGCCTTTTCAATAATATGCCCCCCAACATTCGGATAATTCACTAGAAAAAATAGTAAAGTCTCTTGATTTGAGCACTAAATAATTCTAGCAAGATACAAGGTCAAGAATTTAGAATCTTAGGAATCGGATAAGTCCAATTGCGACTCGTTGTGAGTCGTCTAGAGGCTCGAGTGGAAGGAAAATTACCATCCCAAATGGTGGTAAATCCGAAGGAGAATGTGAGTGCCATGACCTTGAGAAGTGATGCTTTAGTGGAGAAGCCGAGCAAAAAAAAGTCCGAGGAAGCCGATGAAAGAAAGTTTAAGCTGAAAGAAGAGAAGCGAGATCACACCAATTGATGGGGTTACACCGAACCCTAAGGTAAATTCTAACCTTTTTATTCAGTTTTTAACTACTTAAGTACCATTTCCTAATAGGTTAGAGAGGCCTAAGAAAGAAGAAATGAAGAAGGAGAAAGAAAAAGAGATATTTGAGTTATTTAGCACGATAGAGGTAAACGTACCTCTCTTGGAGGCCATCAAATAAATGCCTCGGTGTGCCAAGTTCTTGAAGGACTTGTGCATAAACAAGAAAAGACTGGACGTGAACAAAAAGATAATGATGGAGGAGAATGTTTCCACCGTGTTACGGAGAAAAATTCCTCCTAAGTGAATAAATCCGGATATGTTTACGATATCATACCAAATTGATGACAATAGAATAGACAAAGCCATGCTAGATTTAGAAGCATCGATCAATGTGATGTCATATTCTATATATGTTGTATTAAATGTAAGACCTTTAAAAGATATCAATATTATCATTCAGTTGGCTGATCGCACTAACACCTATCTCGAAGGGGTAGTAAAAGATGTTCTTGTGCGAGTAGATAAATTTGTGTTCTTGACCAACTTCTATGTCTTGAAGATGAGAGATGAATCTCCTTATAATCTTGCATCTCTTTTGTTTAGGAAACCATTCCTCAAGACGACAAGGATGAACATCAATATCCACAAAGGAGCTCTCACTATGGAATTTGATGGTGGGTTAATTTGATTCAATAACCTCGATGAAGGCGATGCCAAGGTACAAGGAAGGTCAAGTCCAAACTTGAAGATGAAAGATCCCCCTTAATAGGGAACGTAACGTCGAGCCAACAACGTTAAACAAAAGTACTTATTGAAAGACAACTCAATAAACTTTTATAAATTTAGTGTTCTAATTTAATATTCAATTTATTTATTTAATTTTCCTTTAAATTTTACCCATACTTGACTTGATTGAAAGGATGTTGCAGCATAGGTATTTTGGTGTATTAAGAGGAAAAAAACACATAAATTGTAGTAGAATTTTACACGACTTCGTAGTTAAAGAGCATGCTCGTGTATGTGTATTTAGCTAGAAATTCTTAAAGAGAAAGATGGTTATATAGGAAATAGTTGAGGGACACAATTTATAAAAGAAAATAGCATGCTCGTGTGCCTAAAAGATGACTAAAAATTGAAGCAAAAGATGTTGTAGCATAGGTATTTTGGTGTATTAAAAGGAAAAAAAACACATAAACTGCAGTAGAATTTTACACGACTTGTGTAGTTAAAGAGCATGCCCGTGTATGTGTATTTGGCTAAAAATTCTTAAAGAGAAAGACGGTTATATAGGTAATAGTTGAGGGACACGAGTTTACGAAGAAAATAGCATGCTCGTGTGCCTAAAAAATGACTAAAAATTGAA